GGCCTTAGGTTGCCTACTCCTGCTATAGGTGAAAGACTGTCTGAAATAAATGGTGTCATCAAAATTTTAGCTAAATATATAGAATGAGAATATATTTTATTATCTTAGTTCAGATGGTATGGAGGGGTATCTTTTGCAGGCTGGCATCTCCTCCTCCTGGCCATGTGGCTGCTGGGAGATTCTGAAAGTCCAGGAGATTTAATATCCATTTGCAACACAAAATGGTACAGTTGGCCTTCCACACATGCAGCTTTGACTTTTGTGGCTTTAGTATGTTCTCTCTAGGTCCTCCAGCACAATTCTGCTGGAAATTGACCACAGAGCTGAATTGGAGGACTTAAGAGGTTACTAGAGAAAAACATTTCTCTAGGCATTTGTAGGTCCTCCAGCATGATTCTGTGATCAACTTTTGGCAGATGTTGACCACAGTGTTGCTCTGGAGGACCTAGAGATTCCTAGAGAGAACATAGTGTTGTTTTTTTGGAGATGGATGTTAAATTTCCTGGACTTTTGAGAATTTCCCAGTAGCCACATGGCTAGGAGGAGGTGATGCCAGCCTAAAAGAGATAGCCCTTCATACTATCTGAACTGAGAACAAAAAACAGCAAAATGCAGGCCTAGGACTAACATCTTTGATTTTTCCCCTCTGTGTATGGTTTTTGACACCTTGCCTGATGAAGAAGCCAGAGGAGCCTCAAAAGCCTGCAACATGTATATTGTGCATTTGGGTTGACCCGAGAAAGGTATCACTCTTTGGTGGATTTTTGTTTTTTAAATATTTGCAGTTTCCCCCCACTTTCAGGGGGGTCCTGTGCCCCTAACGCCAGCGGATGTGGAGGGACCACTGGCTTCCTTCCTTTCCAGCTAATCAAAAAACCAAACTGAAGGGTTCTGCCAAAAAATAACCAGGATAAAATAATCCCACTTCCAACTAAAGACTGAAACAACATGTAGGCATCTGACTAACATCTCCAATTGTTTGTCTCCTCTTTGGTTTGTAACATCTTGCAGGATGACGAAGAAGCCCATGGAGCTTCGAAAACTTGCAACAAGGATATTGTGCATTTTGGTTGGCCAATA